TTTGGTGATGATTCTGCTGCTTATGGTGATTAAAGGGACACTAAAGCCAAATAACAATTTATGTCAAAGTGAAAGCTTAATGTATGACAACATCTAAAATGGCAATATTATGAACAGCAGAGCCCTACTTACCGAGAAATTAATGTAAATGCACGAGAGCACATGCACCACGAGTAGGACATTCGCAATATAATCCCGATAACGTCGGACTTGCCGCCTACAATTAACCACTAGTAATCGAACTAACTGCAGTAAATAAAGAACCTTCCGTGCATGAAGAGATGTAATAAAAAGCTGCTAGCTGCTTGTTTGTTTCTGTTTGATTAAAAGAAAAAAACAACCGCCGGACGTTACTATGGAGAACGGCGCGAGCGGCTCGAAATTTCAATTTTTGCCTGGTTAAAGAGGGTTCTAACACAAAACATGGGCCGTTCCCGATCACATGTGCCAAACTTTGCAACGCTAAGTGCCACGGAAATAGGTGATATTTCAGGATGAACGCTACTCCCCCTTCATTTCGTGGGCGCGCGACCGGAGAATGAGGGCATAGTGTGCACGTGTGAATTGCCCTACATGCACGGCAGTCCTCTACGTAGACGACTGTGCTCTGATGTAGCCAACAATGTCACGTGACATGTCAAAAATTATTTAACCTGACATATGTAGTTTACGTAGTGTCTTGCTTGAATAGATTAATAAAACTTGAGATATATAATGAGATGCAATAAGGGAATGTGCGTGTATTTTTCATCTTTTTTTCTCGTGAATTTCAACGAGATGCAGGGCTAATGTGCCTGCGTTTTGCATGTGTTCGTGTCTCCGCGGTTAGCGCATCAAGGAGACGTCAGTTGTGGAAGCAAAAATAATGCTCCTACGCGTTCACGCACTTCATCATGCTCATTTGTTCCACCACATCTAAGTAAACGTTATTGCGAGTATTGGATCGTGACATCACCACTCTCGAACCAGGGAAATGTCACAGTTTTCGTGCTCAGTAATAGGTTGCAAGCCTGATGATCGGCGTGGGCGCATTCAACATCGCTTGCTGAAACATGAGCTGGTCAACAAAACAGCGCCGCATGCGTGCTCTGGGGTTGAGCTTGTTTGGGCACGTCATGCACACATGACCTCTTGGTCACATGCCGAAAAGGTAGGGAAGAGATTTGGCTTGCCAAGGCTACGTGGGGTAAGCGGAAAGGGTTTCGAGCTCGCCTCCTCCCATCTTTCTTTCGGGCCGCTTCAAAAAAAGTTTTCTCATTTCGTGATGAACCGTTTGAAAAAACTTTTGTGGCATGATGCTCTTCATCGGACACACAACTAATTCCACTATCTAACTACAATTTGTTATGGGGCCTGTTATGGGGCCCTTTAAGAAGGGATTATTGCAGGGAGGGGGGGAAATATGCAAAACAATATGCAGGCAGTTATACGGGCAGACAAGATTTCGTGACATAGTGTGAAGCTAATAACGTAATACAGTATAGTTGTAAATGAAAAACGCTCAGTGCTAGGAAGTCGAGCATAAACCATTGAATAACATAATGAGGATTAGCAGACAATCAAGCCAATGAAGGAAAGTGTAGGGGATGATATTTGTTTTAATTTTGATATAAACATTTGTGCATTGGTGAACAACACATACAAATGCTCAATATCTGTAATTACAAAAAACACTTTCTAGGAACAACTATTTCAAATATGTGGGTATGAACACTCTAGTAACACCGTGAACTACTTTCTTGTGTTCGATCTTTGTTTAAATATGCCTGATCACTAACTTCTATAGATGTCTGCGAGGTGTAGGTGGAATAATTGACTTCGTATATGGCATCGCGCACATTACGTATAGATTGTACATGTGATCCCCGTAAGAGGGAAGTAGTTTTTTTATGGTCCTCTAACTTAATGTAAATAATGCCCCATCCGATTTACTTGGCAACACTGCTTGTAAAACGACTCGAACCATGTTGCCTACAGGGTGTGTCCTCCTGATCTTAGTCGAGAAATAGGAGGCGCCATGTCCGTGTGTTTTGAAGAGTTCTGCTAACGAACAAAGCACTAACTATAGGTAACTGTGTCCAGATTGTAACGCAGTGATATTTTTAGTAGCGGGGACCACATGGTGAACCGAGAGCGGTTGGGGGGGGGGGGGGGGGGCTGTTGGCGGCAAGGAAGAAAAAAGGCGCGTTTGCAATACTGTATCGAATTAGAATAAAAATCATCTTTATTTTCTGTACATATGTCACAGGGTTGCAATTTAGAAACGTGTGTTATAAGTGAAAACCACCTTTGAAGTCCAAAATGTCAAGTCTGCCTCAGATAAGAAGTGACAAGGAAAGGGGATGGGTTCTGACGTCGAGCTGGGGGCCGCTTAGCGTGCCATGTCGACCCCTGTGTTTGACGAATCGTAAATGAAAGCCATCCTCTTTTATTGCGATAGCAATCGTACGAACCCACTTGGCTCATTTTTGCTGTCGCCGACATGTTTCGGATATGTGTATGTATTGTGGGCATTTGTTATTTACTTCTTCCTCACCTCGAGATGATCATAATCACCATCATCGTTTCTCTCTGTCCTCATCATCCCCGTGTATTGTTATCATCGTCTTCGTGTGTTTACTGTGGCTGTTGTAGTGTGGGTGCATGCTCTGCCCGTTCACTTTCCGAGGTCTTGCTTATAATAAACGCCGTCGCAACCAAGACGTCATGTGGGGTGGAGGTGGATTCACAATCCTCTCCTAGCCCGCTTTACCCCATGCAGCTTCGTTCAGGTCGCTGCTTGGCAGCATGCCGCAGAACGAGCCTGCCGGTGCTGATGCCATCACCACCCCTTCGCCCCCTCTCTCCCGCTCTTTGCTGGTCTTCGTGGAGAACACGTCGAGGACTGGCTCCTGGCTCGATGACTACGACCGCCTGAGTGCCGCTAATCGGTGTGACGAGGCCACCAAACTGCGTTACGTCCCTATCTCCACAGCTCCATAGTTTACAAGTCTGGTAGATAACACGAAGACGCCGACGCTATTTCTCGCTGTCCGCTTCCTACTACCCACCTCGGCGTTGGCGAGAGCTCGACCGCCACATATCTAACGCAGTTCATACGCTCGCCTCAATAGGCCAACTGTTTCAGGACGACGAGCCATCATTTAGCTCCTGCAAGTGGTCCGATTCATACTGCAGATGTATTACGGACAACCTTTCGGGAGCTTCTCATCCATGTAACGCGCAACTTAGTCAACTCTTGCACCTTAAGCCGGACAATGGGGTTCTCTACCACCACATTTTCTGACCATTCTGACGGTCAGCACTGGGTTCCTGTGCTACCACGCTCTCCTTGACTTTATGTGCTTGAAGCGTTCAACGACAACTTCACCGCTGGCCATCTTCATTTTCAAAAAACTCTTGACCGCATTTGATGCCGTTTTCACTGGCCTAGCCTTTCTTCTAGTGTAGCGCGGAGCGTCAGTTCCTGCTTTGCATGCCAGCGCCGTAGACTTCCAACATCTGCATACTGCATCCCATGAGCGTCTTTGTTTTCCTTTCTGGACGTGTTGTGCCAGTCTCAACTTGTGTATTCGGGAAATATTTTTCTGTCGTGTACACATCCTTCAAGGCTGGGTTTGTCCTTCTTTCACGCTATGTGCTAACTTCTTACCACCTTCCATGATTATTGTAAAACACATGTGGCCATGGTAGCAATAACAAAACGAAAATGCCCCCACCTCCCTGAAGGGAATCGTGAGGAAATGTGCATGCATTTCTTCCGCCGAGAGAGGGTACCATTGCCATCAGACATTCGTCCTGACCGACTTCTGCCATCGCCTTGAGAGGCGACCAGCCAGCGCACGGTCAAGAGTGAGGAGCGAGCGGAAGGAGAGTGGGGCGCCAGCGGTCTCAGCTCGGTGTTGGCATTTCACAGCAGCGTCTCGTGTACACATTTCCAGATGTTCTTGAGAGGTGCCCAGCCAGCGAACGGTCGGGATAGAGTTACTGTATATACCTAAAGGTAGCATATACAGTAACTCTAGGTCGAGATTGAGGTTAACACCATCTAATGAGGCGCGAGCGTACGGGAGAGTAGGGCGCAGGGAGGAGAGAGCGAACAGCGAGAGAAGGAGCGGCGAAGCACTACACCTACCCTTCCCTACACTCTCGCGCACCGCATGCTCCTGTTTCTAGGGGTGAGGGTAAGCGCGTGTGCCCGTAGCTGTTGCTATGGCAGAGCGAGTGAGAGAGGAGAAATAACACTTGCCGGCGCGCGGACACGTACCGCCGCAGACAACGCCGGATGCCTGACATAGCCCGACCAAGAAATGCATTCGCATTTAAAAAAGCTACGCTGCTCATTTGCGGAAGAAATAAACGCACAGCCACGTACCACGGTGGCACTGTGCTCAGTAGCTGAGCTAATTGACGCGCGTATTGCATCCCCGCCATGGTGTTCGCATTTTGACGAAATGATAAATGATGCCTGGTCGTCAAAGAACCGCGTGTGGTCGAAACTGCTGGAGCAGTACATTGCGGCGTACGATTACCCCGATACCAACATGAAACACGTGCCCCGTGTGTTGATATTGTGGTCACGGTACGTGACACGCAAAACTTGGTCCATTACACATGAAATTAATGCCCGCCTCTCCCCATTAAAAAAAAACGCTATATTTACACGCTAAAAAACAAAACATATTCTTCCTGTTCCGTCAGCTCTTAGTGTTAGGAGCTTTGAATGTGTTCAAAGCTTCGAAAAAAGATGCAGGTAATGGCACTTTTTTTTCGTATTTGTAGTTTCTGTTTCTACGTAGCAACCGCCACGCTGTCAGTGCAAATAAAACATGTCAATTCACTGCAACTAGACTGAGCATGAATGACCAGATTTGAAGCTAGATTTTGACCAAACAGCTACTTGTAGTTAAAACAAATTTTTGGTAACTATTGGTGCCTAGAAGTTTGCTAAATCTAGCTACGAAAAATAGCTCGATTGGCAACACTGGCGGAAGCAGATTTTCAATTTTGCTGTGCGCACTCGCCTGTGCCCACACTAGTACACTGTACCCATACTCGAAGAAGGGAAGCATTTGCTGCTTGGGGGTACTGTCGTACGGTTACGCTGCGATTTTGTGATGTCCTCGACTCAACGCAGTCGATGTGATGTTCCTGGCTGCCAAAGCGACAGCACTGAACGGATTCACCGGGTGCCTGAGGATCCCGAACGTCGGCAAGCGTGGTTACGGCGCATTGGTTGGCCAGCTTCAAAGAAGCGGGCACGGATATTCGTGTGTAGACGGCATTTTTCTGCCGAGGATTACATGCAACACCCCGGCGTAGTGCAAGCCATGGGGTTCCAAGCCGGGCGCATATACCTGAACAGGGATGCGCTACCGAGCTTGCTTCTCCCGAGCAGTCCGGTAAGTGTAATGGGTTAGGTTCTGTTTGGCGTTGCTTAAAGGTTCTTTTTGGCGTTCCGGTGGCTCCCTGCAGCCGCTGGAGCGCGCAGGCCACACGCTATCGTGTTTCCTTTCACAAAAATTGACACTGTACCTACGTACACGATGTAGTTGTGCACTTTATACAATCAGAAGATTGTTGCTTTCTTCAACCGAATAGTGATGCATTTCACACTAAAAACCGCGATGGATGCGATTCGCCTGTCATGCTCATACCTGATTGAGAAATATTTGGATGCGAAATATGGCAGATGAAGCACATACACTAGAGTTTTCTATGTGGCATGCATATTACATAATTTCTATAATGGAATTTTAAAGTGCTACGGCAGCACAAATTCTAAGTTAATGTTATCGACACAGACATAGTGCACCTATTTAATATCCGAGTTGAGTGCATGAGAGGTCGGTATCACCTGTCCTAAAGAATGTGGTTATATATGGTGCATCCAACTTGTTACTTTCGACAAAGTCGAATGCAGATTTCACTCAACACTTGCTATCTTACCAGTCATCCGGTCATCTCACAATCATGAGGCAACAGTCAAGGATGTGTCAACCTACAGGTTGCGTGTTACTAAAATAGGGCTGTGACGGTGTTCTGCATTCGTGAAATTGTTGAGTTTAGATTTGATTTCTCTACTTCAGCCACACGCCAAGGATGCTGAGTCATCACCGGGTGCTTCAACATCAGATACACCGAGTAGCACTCCCATGGATTTTCCTCCGGTAAGTCGTTCTTTTGTGCCATTCATTGTCGGCACCACTTATCTGTAACGAAAAAAAAAAGTGAAATGTTATCGGCACTTCCCTACCGTAATCAATGATGACAAAGGATGGAAGAAAGAGCATTAGCAAGAATGTACTCTTGAAAAACTTGCTTTTGGGGGAGTTGGTGCCTTAGTTTGCTGAAGATTTCGTAACTGGCGCTATACCAGGAACATAAGAAGGAAGGAGACAGACGGGCACCAAACTGCCATGAGCAGATCAGGTTGGGCTCGTGTATGCCATGTTTCGAGCAAACTAGGATTATCGGCAAAAGCAGAGACCAAACAGCGAGGGAACTGCTAGAGGCGTATTGTATTAAAAGTGATGTGTCTGCTTGTGTCAGTGAAACATCTGTTGTTCTTTATCAATCTGAGTGGTCCTTTAATCAATTGCTTATGTGATGACATATCTGTGGTAACTATTTCAAGCCACTGTGCATGTGTGAATGTTTACCCGTTTTTCAGCCTGCCTCGGCAATAAACAGTTTGGCACCCGTCTGTCTCTTTCCCCCCTATTTTTCATGTTTATAGTGCAGTGCCAGTCATGAAATGTTCGGCAAACATTAGCAAAAGGTGTAGCTGTGTAGCTTTTTTTTTTTTTTTTTTCAGAATGTTTTCTGTGTCCCCTTTCTCCACCCTAAAGGCACTTTTGTGTGTACTGAACTGCATTTCAGGGTTGTTATAGTCACTCGGGCTGAGCACAAAGCGTGATTAAGCGAGGTTGGCAATGCAGAATGTCAAGCTTCGGAGAATTCACATTGAGCTGGTGTATCTTGTTTCGAGTCACAGACCAGGACTAATGACAACCTCACAGAGGGCATTGATTGTAACAAAGAAAAGATATACGCTTGAAATTTTCTTCATTTCTAAGCATTACAAGACTGTTGCTAGCTCTCCTTGTAAAAGTGCCAGACAGTAATCCACACCACTTGCCACCTCACCGTTTCAAGTTTTTAATGAACAAGTATTGTTCATCAATCAAACACTTGAAATTACTGTACAGTTCTTGTAATCCATTTCATTTAATAAATTCAAATGCACCCTATTCGCCCCACCGTGGTGGTCTAGTGGCTAAGGTACTCGGCTGCTGACCCGCAGGTCGCGGGTTCGAATCCCGGCTGCGGCGGCTGCATTTCCGATGGAGACGGAAATGGTGTAGGCCCGTGTGCTCAGATTTGGGCGCATGTAAAAGAATCCCAGGGGGTCAAAATTTCCGGAGCCCTCCACTACGGCGTCTCTAATAATGATATGGTGGTTTTGGGACGTTAAATCCCACATATCATCATCAAATGCAGCCTATTTGCAGGCCGCCGTGTGCTGCCAGTGCAGTTGTCGCCCTCGTCCGAAGGCCTCTGTGGCTACACAGTGCTCACTTGGCATGGAGGCAGCAAGGGATATATAGGTGAGCAGCCATTTGTGTTGCTGAATACTGCTAAACTCTGCCAGAAAATTCAAATGCTGCCTAACATATTAAGAACATGTGATAATCCCAGGCAGGTAGAACATTGTTAGAATTGTGACCACTACAACTGGGTAGAAGCATATTTATGTACAGGTGTAGAGGCTCACCTATGCGTATAACTTCACATCACCAAATCAACACAAACAGAGCCATCTCCGCCCCAACTTTAAACCGACTTCCAGCATCCTCGCCAGTCAAAGCCTGCATTTGCTGCCATATGAAGACGTGAACGTTGATGAGGAGGATGCACCAACGTGAAAGCGACACTAGCTACCACAAGTCCTTCAACTGCAGCATTAGCAAGTGGCTACATGCAGTCGTCGTGAGTAAAACCTAGGGGCTGAGCTGCACATCGCGATTTTCAAATAGAAAGTTGCTCCATAAGTAGTGACTCATTCAGAGAATGTATTGCAGGACTACCCCTTTTTTGAGGCATGAAAAGCTTAACATTGTGTGAAGTCTCACGTCAACGGCTTGAAAATCCAATATCAGTGAGGAGGAATTTCGACATGTGATTACAGTGTTGCACTTCTCGTGTGCTGTGGTGCTTTCATTCAACAGTGAGCATGCAAGGAGGCTCCACGTGAGCAGCGCAAGTTCCTCGTCTTTACGAGCAACCTGAGGGAACTGCTTGCTCCTTGTCAAGTGTGCCACGAGCATTGACAGAATGAATTCAAGGTGGTCAGGTTCACGCTGTGTGTCACCGCTAGCTGCCCCCATCGCACTCGGACCTGGCCGAGCCAGCCATTAGTCGGCAACAAGCCAGCTTAAAATGTGCTACTGCTTGCTGCCATACTGTTCTAAGGTTGCACTGTGGCTTCGTTTCTGCGGACACTGATGTCCCTCGACATACAGACATGCCATGAGAGGACCTTCTTTAACTACCAGAGAGACTACTTTTTCCCAGCCATAAAACGTACATTCCTATAAAAGGTAAAATTTAAACCACATAACATTGCATAACAACACTCACAATGATAAATAATACACAATTTGATGTCAATCATAAATTTTATGTTAACTTTAGGACCATATAAACAATGTCTTGAAGCAAATTGGCTTTGTTTTATAGCCAGCAGCAATAATAACAACGGGATGGAAGGCTGTTTAAGCACAGTCTTGTTTTCACGCTCAGCCCCGTTTTAGTGCTGTTTGTTTCCAAATGACGTACCGACTAGCTCGCCAACTCACAATGTCACAGGAAGATGAGGTAACAATGAGTAAAAAATAAATAAAAAATAATGTATTCATCGTTGAAACAAGTTGTGGTGATACGGAACTTCATTTAATTACAGTGCAATTTCAGCAACTTGCACACACACGCAGGTTATCAACCAATAACATATTGAATATCTCACAGGCCAGAGGAGAACAGTATGTCTTAAACTCGGAGGGAAAGGCGCTTTAGAAAGAAATGGATTCTGTATCAGCCTTGTGATATATGATGGTGTTAAAAGGGAAGCTATCATATACCATAAGATTCGCACAAAGCGGCTGAAATTGCCCTCTGTATTTGCTCTTGTGCTTTGTCTACATAACATTAACTTTTAATTAAAAATTACAATAATTCCTAGATGCTCCACTCCTGCGATAGCCCTTCAAGGCTGCAGTACGTTGAAATGAATAAATTAAAATTGAGCATCGACAGCATTTCTAGAACCAAGGCCCATAAAGCGGGAAGAAATAAAGCCTGCGCAATGCAGGTAAATATGACAAGAGATCCCAGTAACTGAAGCAATGAAAGGTGTGTTAGGGCACCGGAAATAAAAAACTAAAACAAATTGAGAAATCTCCTGATAGAACTGTCAGGCATGCTATAACATAACATGCAGCCCATGTATCGACAGTTATTGTATGTATCCACTGTATCTGCTGATTTTATTGTTTCACACTATGCATTTACTCCTGTGTCCAGCTTCTTCGGGTGCGGATAGCACAGCTGATGAGGGACCTGCCTGAGGATGATGTAGAGATCGCCGGAGAAGGCCAGTGGGACTTGCCAGGGTACAGTGCAAAGTGCTGCACATATTCTGTCCTGGCAACAGAGTTTGGTAGAATCCTGCGGTACAAGCAGACTGTGATATGATATGTGGCACAGGGAACAAGAACTGAAACCCCAACACCTCGATAAAGTGTCATGCAGTGGCTCAGTGAGTTTGTGAGTGCACGTATGTGCCATGTGTTGACGTAAAAGAAACCAACAGGCTCGTGAAGCGCGGCCTCGAGAGCGAGGGAGACTCGTGCCTTCGGTGGCGCTCAACGGTCGTGCTTAAGGTCAACCAGTGTTCGTGGCAAAGCAGAAGTCTGGCTGAGCGACTGGCCCTGAAACCAGACGATGCGTGGTTGTTCCTGCTGCTGTTCCTGCTGGCTGGGCAACCAACGAACGAGGCCAACCGTTGTTCCAGCTGGCCGACTAGCCCAGGAAGCAGGCGAGGTCCGCTGTTCGTTCCACCGTCCACAGAGGTGGATTGAGTAGTCACGGCGGGCTACAAGCGAGGCCAACCTGCGTTCCGGCTGGGCAACTGGCCCATGGAGCCGGCAAGGGACTGGCACAACGTCAGGGTGCTGCCGGCACGAGACCAGGTGGCAAAGTGCTGCTGTTGCGATGGCAGAGGGCCAAATCAGGGAGAGGACCGACCCACGTCGGACACTGAAAGTGAACCAGGCAGAGCACCGTTCTCAACTGACCGGCGTGTATGCCACCTATACTGCGAGAGAACTAATTGTTTAAAGACAATTATAGCTTGAATAGCTCGTGTGCCTATGCTAATATAAGTGTGAACATGCTTTTGTGCACTGATGTACTGTTGAGTCCTTTCTGGAGTAGTCCAGAAAGAGACAGATAAGAGTACGAGAGGTGAGCAAGTAAAGAAAGCAAGATATACCACTCCGTAACTGTAATTTCATGCACTCATCAGCTCTACCAAGCAGCTCCGCAATGGAGAAAGAAGGTATGGCACAGTGCCTCCAAAAACTGGAACAAAATGGCATGACTATGCGGCCCTTAACTACAGGAAAGTTAAAATTTTCTGCAGGAAGTAATGATGTTCTTTGGCCAGTGACAGTGACTTCATTGAGCTTTTCAAGTGGCCTATTGCTTTTCGGCAGTGCCTGGTCGTGGTGCGATATTTAAAATACAGAAACACGAGTGCATGTCACAAAGTAACCCCCTTTTACAATATATATGTGTGTGTGCAGTCAAAAAAGAACACGAACGTACGAAACAGGAGGGTTAGGGTTAGTCCGAGTAAAAACAACTCTGACAATGGTTGCTCTGACGAAGGCAAGCCTTCTTGCTGAAGCGTCAGTAAAAATTGCGTTTTATATGATTGTCGCCTTCTTTTTAGACTGCGTTTCCTACTAGAGCCATTGAACATATTTCTCATATATATATATATATATATATATATATATACAGTGTTTTACGGAGTGTGTCTATTATTCTTTAAAAATCACAGAAACGAGGTATCTGCATACTACTTGCCGCGTTGCCTTTCCTGTGGCAAGAGGCATCTTCAGATGCATACAGACAATAATTGCAGCAGTAATTGTAGAAATTAACACAATTAACTTTTTAGAGGTGATAGCCGGTCAAATCTAATGGGCGAATTCAAGCCCTTCCTCTGAATAGTCCATAGCCACTTCGACATTTTGGAAAATCGGCCACTGGTAATCACCGCGGAGCTATGCAATGAGCAGGAGAAATCGAAACCGACGCACCAAACAGCGCATATATCATTCACTTTGACAACGCCCTCAGTGAGACTGTTTCCCTCGCCGTTATCAACCGACTTCGCTTCGAATTTTCGTGAGAGCAGGTGGGGAGGGAATGTTCAACACACCCGAGCCCCTGCCTCCTTGCTTCGCTGTTAATTTGAATCTTTTTCCTTTTAATCTGTTTTTTTTCACTTTCTCCAAGATATACCAACTTTCACCATGCAACGGATTGGTGCGATAATGTGAAATCGTGGATTTACAATCCACAATTTCACGAAGTTTTGACAATCTTCGATGTTGTGATGATGTCATATCGTTACGTCATCGTACCTTACTCTTTTCATCAAAAATTTTTTTGGGTGAGTTTGGTACACACACCTACAGAAGAGGTATGGACAGACAGGTACACATCGCCTGTGTAGTGTATTCGCACCCTTATACTCTCACCACCTTAGGCTAAGACTCCCTTGTTGGATTCCGTGCTGAACGGTGGGGTCGTTCGCGATTATCCTGGCGCCAGCGTAGGTCTCGCCGATCCACGCATCGTTTGTGAACTCCTGGGGCTGTGTGGCTCTCGCCGATCAGTGCACCGTCCTCGGACTCTGTTCGTGACCTATTTACTGTCTTCAATCTTGTCTCTCTATCCCTTTTAATCCCTTTTCACCCTATTCCTTTGTGAGCTACTGCTGTGGTGTCGCATCTTGCTTCAGACAGTTGCGGGGCTCACTTTTCTCTTTTTTTTCACCCTTGAGAGTGGAAAACGTGGCGAGAGAGGAGGCCATTACTCCCCTCGCCACCTTAGTCTCTGATCAAGTGACTTTTCGCACCGTTCGTGCTGATGCGTGTGTTGTCAGAGTATCACGCTAGATAGGGTGCATGTAAAAAGTGCAAGGTAACTTCTATTCTATAGGGATGTTTCGAATATAGGGCCCCCGAAACTGCCCCGCCGTTCCGGAATCAGATGGTAGCTTACGGCTGCGGAGTTCCAGGACGTTACAGCACGTTTCCATCAAATGCAGCAAGCAAGTTTGCGTATGAACACTTGTTATTATTGATGAAGCGTCAGCCGCAACAAGCTGGTTCAAGTAGAAACCTGGCAAGCATGATGATGATGATGAATCTACAGCCATGGCTCATATTCACTTAGGGGGATTGGCCAAGAATCGATTACTTAATCCAGTCAGATTTTTTGCATATTCAATTTTTATACCCCCCCCCCAAAAAAATAAAGAAAAAGATACCATAGGTAGAATGAAAGCAGTGCGATAATTGTTTGTCACTTGTTCAGATCAGACAATCCATTCATTATCTTGAATAGGAACTTAATTATCTTGAAATTCAACATAAACAAAGCACCTGTTTATGTTGAATTGTTTCTGCAGGAGTAATGCTCATGCAATTGAAAGCTTAATTCTTCTAGTTTCATTTAGGTGATTTCAAACTGCATCAAAAATGTTGTTGTGGCTGAAGACCAGATCCGAAGCATCGAAGGAAAGTATAGTCTCTATTGTGAAGTTCAGCCCCAGGCTAGTGAATGGGATTACTAAAGGTCTTTTTCTTAGCAATGTGTATAGACGACATGATAAAAAATAGCGCTCTGAGCCACATGGACGTCAACTTCTTTCACGCTGGCACAGAACTCTCGCCACTATGCTCCGGTACACAAGATTTAACTTCAGTCCGGTCTAAATCAACTATGACAGTCGTGTATCTCACTTTGTTGAGAACATATTTGGAATGTGCACGAGTACAAGAATGAGATTTGTAATTGAAACAATGGATAATAATCGGTAGTGTCAATATCGATAACTTTTGCCTGGGGTCAAGTTAGTGAGTTGGAGAAAGCATGATCAATCAGCATCTGAGAGCCACTGGGAACTTGCCCTGTAAAAACATCAATTATGGATTCGTATCCATAGCATTCCAGTAGGCTAGTGTAATTAACAATAGGTGAAGTTTACTTGAGTAAATTAATGCTGATGTAATCCACAAAAATTGCAGTTATATTCTCAAGAGGAATTTTATTAACATATTCAAGATTACAAAAAAAAAAATTTTCGACTAAAGTCGGCGGAGATCAGTAAAGCAGCCAAATATGAAATCGCTGTGATCACAAGACGAAGAGCAATTAGCAATTTCAAACCAAGCTGATTTGCAGTTGGTTACACGCAAGTGTAAATCATGTCTCCTCCTATCAGAAAGACTAGGCGATATATATATGGTCACACAACCATCACTGCTAGTTGGCGTATTACAGTATTCCGAGTTGTACTTTGGGAAGCAATAGATATTTCTGTCATCAACTGATAACCATGTTTCCGTTATGGCAACAATTTAATAAGAGCTACTCTAGAAAGAAAGAAGATTATCGATTTCATTGAAATATTATGCAGGTTCCGAGCATTAAAATGAATTATAGAATTACATCCACTTACGGACGATTTAACGTGATCTGGTTCTATAGAAGCATCCATCCTAATGCAATAAAAAGTGATGCAATGAGCACATTGTGCTAGGCCGAATCTATTTTGGTCAGATCAGTCATCACGAAAGCGCAGACCTCGGCTATTTGTAGCCTTTCTATCTTTAATTTGACAGTCGTACGTCCAGAGAAACATCCAGTTGTTTCTTGTTCAGTGTTGGGGCTTTGGAAAATAGGACCTTATAGCTTGGAGTCAAATGATCATTGATAAAGATGGGTGTATTATAAACGGCAGTAACACCAAGATCATTAACACAGAGCTTCGCCTTACATGCTTTACTGCTGAAGTCGGGAATTATCTTTAGTTAAACTGTTCATTTTGGCCCCGAGATCTTCAATTCTTTTTTGAGAGTTCAGCATTAGTTGGCATGGTAAGTATTCTTTCTCACAAAAGCAACTGCACACACAGGAAAAAAACTATAAAGCAGAGCAATTGTTGGCAGCAGCGGCAATGGTCACGTGCACTGCGTTATCTTATTCACTACCATCACCATTCAAGCAGCAGAGCAAAAAGTATGGAGGAAGTCATGTGCTCTCACGAAGACCACTTGTTTTCATTGGTCACACTGTAGAACAGAAGTTTCGCCGAACAAAAGAGATCGACTATCCCGGAGCACATTTGCGGACACATCCAATGCTGGCGATTTGAAATCAGTCAAGCGTAACGCACACGAACCGCTCACTTGAAACGTGTTAGTTCCATCAGTCAATCCTCTTTTGAACAGTGGGGTTGTGTTGTGGAGTAACCGAGCGCCTGTATAGGGTATAATACAGGCGTGCTGTGGCTCCCATCCACATGCGTTTCGGGTCACACTTAGTCTGGTCTGCCTCCAGGTCTGTAAACACTTTTTTACCCATTATTACAAATCTAGAATGCAGATTTCAGGCAGCAGGCTTATTATTTAGTGTTTGCACTAACCCCCCTCTCAAGGATGACATGCTGTGCACACGTGAGTTGGTGCTATACCCGCTATGCAAACTGGAATCGAATTGGGTGCCCTTGTCAGCTGTCGCGACAAGTATGCCAACATGGGCACAAACACCCACTGATGATGACATTTACTACGATGCCATGTACCATAAGGTACAAGGCATGCACCCACCATCTCACACAAACGCAGATGGTACGCTGCCGACTACGCTATTGGTGCACGTTGTGGATATGAAAGCATTATATGTGTCATGCGAACGTGACTTTGGACAGAAACTTGAATGCTCCCTTACGCATTTATGACCACTCGGAGGCGAGAACCATCCTTGGCCATTTTTTTTTTCTCAGTAGATTGTGTTGATGGCCCTTTTCCTCAAAGATTTGCAAGCTCAACGTGATTTTTCACAACTTCTGGTATCGGCAGCATTGAAATCTTTTGGGCCCCAGAATGAACTGTAGGGCATCCAGCAAGCCTGTGAGGTGTCAAGGAGAGAGTCTCGGGTCCTCCACGGGGGTGGTCTAGACACCCAGGCCACGAATTGGCCGGTGTTGTTAACAAACCGGTTACCACCACCACAACGT